TTCCCTAGCTTTGTGTTCATAAATCCATTCACCATACCCAGATTTCCCCAACTCCACTGGGAAATCTGGGAACAAACATACTGCTCCAAGCCAGCTGGGACCATACACAGCTGTTGACTCCACTCCTTCGGGCATATAATAGAAGTTTCTGTTGTGATTCTCACAATGGAGGAAATGACACATAATAATTTGAATTTGACAGAAATTGGATTAGTGATGTTTGTGAATGCCATGAGCCTCATATTTATTCAGAAAAGCATTAATGCCAACCAAGCAAAATATGTGTTTGTAAAAATATTACTTACATTTGCTTCAAGAGAACAATGTCTCAAGGAAATTCAAGTTTGCTCCGTAACCCCAAATTTAGGACCTCAGGACCTTAAAGACAAAAAGCAACTAGTACCGTCGCTTTCCAAAGGAGGATAATTTTTTTTGTTTTGTTATCAAGCCTGACTCACCATATACCTTGATTTTTCTGTTGTACAGAGAATGCAAGACAGCGTCAGGATGGGGTGGTGAGCAATTCCATTGTGTACTTCACTGAAGACCCCCCAGAACTGCCACCCAACAGTCCCCATCCACTGAAGCTGCGGCGTATTCTCAACCTGAGCCCTTTCACTGTCACTGACCACACGCCAATGGAGACCGTGGTAGATATTTTCCGAAAACTTGGACTCCGGCAGTGTCTTGTCACTCGCAGTGGGTGAGTAGATGCTGACTCAAGCACATATAGAGAATCTCAGGAGATTTTCTTCAGCATTAATGCCACCACTATTTTTCCTGTTTTAAGGCAAGTGTATACAGTAACCTATTAATCAGCACCTCTGAGACAGTCAAGTGAATATTTTGATTTTGTCTATTTTGTGAATGGAAAAACAAGGGAAGCATGCCCAGGGTGTCTCCAGGGCAGAAAAAAACCCCCAGACTCAGAACAAAAATGGCCCTTGTCGGGTGTCATGTTTCATTCTGTTCTCCCGAATCCTTAGTGTATTGTCATTTAGATAAGGTAAAGATAAAGATAAAATAAACAGTTCTGTCTCTGTTTTCAACAGAGGCAGATCTGACAAGTAGTATTGTTTTGCAAAGGATGTGCCTGTTTCTAGACATCCAGCTTGATTAAATGTTTGTGAAGACTGTGATAAAGATGTCAGTGGAAGAAAAGTAATCTGTTCGGCTTTCTTTAATGGAAAATAGAAAGGCATATAAACCAAAAGTCCACAAAAAACAGCTGAAGAAGAGTGGGCAAACATGAAATTAGAAGAGTCAAAAGCTGCATCATGTGCACTAGAAATAACATCCCATAATTCCAGTGGTATCTGAGCTATTTTGGGATGTAATGGTAAGAATATACTTTACAACAGGATAGCAAAACCAGAGCCATCATTTTCAAATGCACAAGACTAAAATTTAGTCTTTTGCAAAAACCCTTTTTGTTATTCAAAAATATTGCATGTCAGCTGTTACTAGAGATTCAATGTCCTCAGCACTAAGAAAATAAGGACCTTTATCAGGACACAGATTTAAGTCCTGATTTTAGGTGCCTGGATTTGGAAATTTTGATCTTGATTTCTAGCCCTTACATGAAATGAAAGGTGGAAAAATTATAACAATGACATAGCTTCAAAATGCAGTGCCTCATGGCCTTCAAGGACTGGAAGTAAAAGCCCTTGAATACTGAGGGTTAGGAAATTTTTTACTCTTGGGGCCATATGTTCCATAGACCTCATCTTTCCTGACAGATATAATTCATTTAGGATCATATAAATGAGAAATTATCACTCAAAGTTGAAGGAATTATGCTGTCATACAGTGAGAGTTTCAGAAAGGCCATGCTTTAGCTTAGTCGGTGTATTACTAAACCCCATGCCCTAGCTCAGGGCACTGGTGTCTTGGTTTTGAGCTGTTAGTCCTCTGCAGACTGAGCCTAAGGAAACTCATTACTTTGTTATACAAAAGTGTCAGTAGTTGTAGCTCCTCTCTCAGTCATGTTCCCGACAAAACCAGAGAACAACCCAAAGTATTTAACTTAATGACCATGGCCGGAGTAGTAAAAATACATGAGGTGAGAATGCTTTTTATGAAAGATAATCATTGAGGAATGGATGGGTTGGACAGTCTTAATACGGAAGCGTGCACAAAATGACCCTGCAGCTGAACAGGGGGAAAAAATGCATGATACATGAGATGATTGTTGACCTTTCCTTTCTTTTTCTCTAGGAGGCTGCTGGGTATCATAACTAAAAAGGATGTATTAAGACATATGGCTCAAATGGCAAACCAGGACCCTGAATCTATCATGTTTAACTAGACTGGTAGAGGAAGAAGAAAGTAACCCCAAAGGAATCCCTTCTAGATTAACACAAAGGCTATGTTCGGTGTTTCAATTTTGTTTAAAGAGAAATGTAATGTGTATGAGGAATGGCCCAATATGCCTCTGACAGAGGGATTGGATGCAGGATGGCACTTATTTAATGAGGAAGGCAGTTTAGAAGCTCTGAGCAGCTGCAGACATCAAGCTGTGTTTCCTTAATGAGATTCCCAACAGCTCAATTGGAGTGTTGGTGGGTGTAAGTGATGTGGTGCTTAGAGACAAAGAGCCAGGAGCACCAGTGGGTTCCATCAACATTCACCGTAACTCTCGAGGCAGATGTGGAGACTAGCAGACACTGCCTATGTATAAGCTGCTAACACAGATAAAGATTTGTATTCCAAACTAGAGAGTGGTAAGAATAACATCAGTTGGTTTTGTTACTGAAATCATGGCTACTTATTTGCTACTGAATGATACCATTTTCATGAGGAAGAAAATCACCATATTTTAAAATGAAAAATTTTGTCATCTTCATTTATTTTTATAAAATTTAAGTTAATCAGGACCTGGTATAAAAGGAGTGAGAACACACTTCAACTCACTTTAAAACATAGTGTCCCCTGCTCCCTGCTTTAGTCCTTTGAATTTTATACAGTTTAGCATTTCTGTCAATCAGCTTCCCTTTATTAATGTTGAAATGTGACTTATTTGTAAGGATTTATTATTTCTCTATGCAATCTTGCGTACAGGTACTGTAATATTTAGTATTATGTGGTTTGCTGTTACAACAGGAAAGGACATAGAAGCCTGTGGAGGAATTTTCAAAGGCACTAAAGGGGGACTGGTATCCAGCTCTCATTGATATTAGTGACAAGAGATTGAATCCCTCACTTGTCTCCCCTTGTGTACATCATCATTTTTCAAAAACTGATGAAGTTATGCATTGATTCCTGTTTCTCCATTTAGTTCCTTTTTGTCATTGTGATTTTTTTAGCATTTGTCTGCACCTGCCAAGAGATTGCTGAAGTTAATTTAAGAGTCCCAGACATTTATTCTGTTGCAGATCTACTCCTTATGTATCTGCCAGTCATAGGACTGTGGAATCCATCCCCACAGCACTGTGGCTGAATAAAGATCAAGGGGACTGAGAATACAAACAATAGCAAAGCTTTAATTATTGATCTGTTTGCAGCAAGAACAGAAGATTTAACAGTCCCTGGTAGGAATGTCCAAGCCACTCAGGTAAAAATACTAAATTTTCCTAAACCCTTGTTCTGGTCATATGTGAGGTGCACAGTGTCAATACTGTCTGCATTTATATACTAGCACTTTAGTCAATACTGTTATCAGTAACTGAAGACCAAATTCTACTCTCAGTAACACATAACTGTTATTGGAGAGAGGTTGCATCCTTAGATGTCCTGACACCCCTTCAGACCCTCTGAGAGTCTGGTCCCTTCATTTAGGCATCGAACAACTCTGGTATTTTTGTTCAAATTCATACAGATACTGGTAGCTCAAGTGTATTGTGTCCAGATGGTCTTCATGGACAGAGATGAGGGGAGTCTTTTCATGACAGAAGAGCCTGTTGCTTACTCCAGACAAAAGCCAGACTGTTGATCCAACCTGTAGGCCATGTGCATTATTACTGTGTCCCTGAACTGACACAACTAGCCAGGTGCACCCTCAGTTAGATGTCCAAAGTTACATATCACAAATTCCTCCTCTTATCTCTGGTGACCCTGCTTCCTTCTGGCATGTGTCCCATTGCATTCACACAAAGTATGGCCCAAATTGTTTAAGTAAAAGAAACGGAAGTAAAGGGATAATTTTAACCTGCTAAGTACTCCATTTAACAATAGTGTTTGCAACTGACTGACATAAATATATGTAGCTCTGGCCAAAGCCCATAAATGTTTCAGTGTATACTTTTTGTTAACTGAACATCTGCAGTACAATGCATTATTAAAGGGATATTGTTGAAACTATGTAAACTATAGAACTGAACAACTGTTCCTTCTGAAAACAGGAAATACAACATAATATTGTTGTTTCTTGTGTTTTTCTGTGAAGCTGTCATCAGCCAAACTCATAAAAAAATCAATCAAGTCAACAACCAAGCTCATAAACATTGGATTCCTTCATTTGAACAGAGATGCCATCATAAAATAAAATCAGTTCATTCCCACAACTAAACCCAAGTGAGGCTTAGTACAAATGTCAGTTCCTACCCAAAACTACTAGAATCTAAGGGATTTGGACTAAGATAAATACTTTAGAGGGAACTCTTGTTCTGAAATCAAAATTGAAGGATTGTGTTCTACTTTTCACTTTTATAGCTCTTAATACGTACATGTTTAAGGAACACTTTCTCCATCTTCCTTTATGTTGACATAGGAAATAAGAATGTGTACTCTTCCCACTTGAACACTTTTAAATATCTCTTTTGCTCATAAGTCAAGAGAAGTAAGTTGGGAAGTGAAGTCATCTGCTGTTTGAAATCAAACTCAAGGCTTCATGTACGTCAGGGAAAAGGAGAAGTCTAAAGCCTTCTCTGTCAGTGAACGAAATTTCAGTCCCTGTTGCATTATAATGTAGTCCATGACAGAGCTAACTCAGAAGACCATTCATAGTACTGAGGGCAATATTTGCTTATAGGAACTAGGATGGTATATCAACACTGTAAAAAATTGTAATTTCCTGAGCAAAAGACATGGAGTCACCTAACTGAGGTTAAACTGCCTGTGAATACAAACTCACTTGGGTATTGACTTGGATTATCAGCTTAAACTCAGTCCATGGCAATGCATAAACATGAACTTGTGTGGCTAATTCCCATTAATACCCAGAGGCCTGATCCACTAAAACCAACAGTCAACCCTGTGATAGCTTGTAACCTTGTCTTATTAGACTGCATATGAGGAGCCTTAAGGACTTAAGAACAGGATCCATAAAACCAGCATGGTGGTTTGTAAGAAACAGCAACAGAAGGAATTGAGATTTATGCACTTATTGCAGGTGCAGTTTGACCCTGGGACTACCCCCCTGTAAATGCATACGCAGCTCTTTTCTATCAAACACATCCCACTTTAGATGGAATGGAATATCTCAGCTGTCAAGGAAAAAAATCTTTGGATGTGTAACTGTACATGGGTGGTTAGACTGCTGCTCCTTGTTCCAGTATCTGTTCAAAATACATTAAACTCCCTTAGAGCAGGAGCTCTCCAGGAATGGCATAGTCACAGCTAACTTCAGCTGCTTGGCATTATTGAGGCTGAGGTGATGCTACAATAACAAGAAGGGTTTTGAAACTGGACAGATTTTGCTAATTAGAAAACTCAGCTCTTCACACACTTCCAGAGATGGTAATTGGATGTAAGTGTTTCTGTTGAACTTCCGCCATGCTACAGTCTTCACTGCTCTTTTAGCTTGAATGGCTGAGTGGGGAATACTCTTAATAGAAATTAATAACATGCTTTTCTCAAAAAATGCAGTTCTGATGTAAAGATTTAATGTATTTCCACATAACAAGCTCATTATCAGTCACTATTTCCCATCTATATTCCCAATTATGTCTCAGAAGTTACTGAATAGACTCCAAGAGGCATAGATCTCAGCCTTAAGTATTTGTTTGAATTTTTAGAGCTCAAGATAGTCACGTAGCCTGATCAAGCTGAGAGTTACATAAGTACTTTAGTATATACTGCTCACTTTATGCGACCTCAGTTCAATCCTTGTGTTCAAGCAGTAGGAATTCGAAGATGTCAAACTAAAGAGAGAACAAAAATCTGTGGATGATGCAAGTTCATTATTGTACCTTTGTTTTGCATGAACTGTGTCCAGTTACATTCAGCTTCTGATGTATACTTGAAGAAATCTGTACTAGAAAGCTAATTTTTAAAGTACAGAACATGGATGACATTAGCCAGACCCTTTGGCTGTCACAGTGTTACTGATTATTAATTCTTATGCTTTGATGAAGCAGAAAAAGAATGTTTAAGAATTACAGGAGACCCACTGATTCCGTGTTGGAATGACACTATAATTATGAATACTGTTTTGCTTTGGGTTTGGTTGGTTTTTTTTTTAACTGTAGAAAACAGTATATATGTTGCACCTTATAAAAAAAATGTTTGGACTCTATTTTTTAAATAAAACTGACTTACAGTACTGGAAACATTTCTTGAACATCTTATTAATTGGAGAAGTATTTCACTTAATGTCTCTCTATGATTTCAATGTTTCCTTTTCCCACCTATAGAGATAACTCAAGTAGGAGTTAGTAAAGTTCACTTAGTGAAGTAGTAGACTTCAAAGAATCAGCCTTTACTGTTGGCTGTTTTATTTCAGAGAGAAATGTTTTTTACTTCAGCACCATAAATCCTTTCTTAAAGAAATCTAAAAAGAGATCAATAAACATTTATCCATTATGTTCAGTCATGCCCATTTAATTGGATGAAACATCCCTTAAATCCCTGCTAAAAGCTAACTTTTAGGTAGTAGCAAAAAATATAGTCCTGATTAACATACTAACCAAGCAAGTAGAAAGGCACTATGGTTTTATGCAAATGAGACATTAATCAATGGTTTATCCAAAAGCAGCATTACAGATTTCAAGACGTGCTCCAGAGAACAAGTTTGATAAAACTGGTATATCAGCAATATCCTAGTTTAAGTTAAATTACTCATTTCAGAAGCTGGTGCTGGAGTCCCAGAGCCTCCAAGTTTCTTCCATGGATTACTGTGATCCTAACACAACTCAATGCACACACCAAAAAGCCAGGAGGGATCAGGACTACAGCAACTTAAATAAGTAGTAATAGTTCCGCTAGTTTGTAGTTGGTCACGACGGACAGAGCCTTAGACCTGCTTGTCATCACTTGTGATGGCATACCTGGAAAATGGAAGAGAAAATGTTGAGAGGAATTGCGTGCCACACTGTTACAGCTGTGCACCCTGCATCCTGGCCTAGGTGCCCATTTCATCTAAATCTAATA